AGAAGAAAAGACAAAAACCACTTGATCCTCTCAATAGATGTAGAAAAAGCCTTCTACAACTCCAACACTACTTCATGATAAAAGCTCTAAGAAAACTAGGAATAGAAGGAATGTACCTCAACATTGTAAAGGGTATATAAGACAAACCTAAAGACAACATCATACTTTATGGTGAAAAGCTGAAACCATTCCCCCTAAAATCAGGAATGAGACAAGAATGCCCACTCTCCCCACTTCCATTCAACATAGTTCTGGAATTCCTAACTAGAGTAAATAGGCAAGAAGAAGAAATAAAAGGAATACAAATAGGTAAAGAAACTGTCAAAATATGCTTATTTGCAGACGATATGATCCTATACCATAAAGACCCAAAAAACTCTACCCAAAAACTCTTAGACACCATAAACAGCTACAGTAAGGTGGCAGGATACAAAATCAACCCACAAATATCATTAACTTTTCTATACACCAACAATGAACAAACTGAGAAAGAACACATGGAAACAATTCCATTCATAGTAGCCTCAAAAAATTTTAAATACCTAGGAGTAAATTAAACAAAGATGTGAATAGCCTCTACAAGGAGAATTACAAATTCCTGAAGAAAGAGATCAAGGAAGACTACCGAAGATGGAAAGATGTCCTGTGCTCATGGATCAGTAGAATCAACATAGTAAAAATGGCTATACTACTGAAAGCAATCTACATGTTTCATGAATTCCCATCAAAATCCCAATGGCTTTCATCACAGAGATTGAAAAATCTACCCTAAACTTCATTCTGAAATACAAGAGACCACATTTAGCCAAGGCAATACTCAGCAAAAACAGCAATGCTAGAGGTATCACAACACCTGACTTCAAAATATATTACAAAGCAATAGCAAAAACACCAGCATGGTACTGTCACTAAAACAGACATGAAGACCAGTGGAACAGAATAGAGGACCCAGATATGAATCCACACAGCTACACCCACCTCATTTTTGACAAAGGTTCCAAAACATGGTGGAGAAGAGATAACCTCTTCAACAAATGTTGCTGGGAAAAGTGGTTACCTATGTGCAAGAAACTGAAACTAGATCCATGTCTATCACCTTGTACTAGTATCAACTCAAAATGTATCAAGAACCTAAATATCAGACCTGAAACTCAAATTACTACAGGAAGGAGCAGGAAACACTCTGGAACAAATAGGTATAGGCAAAGACTTCTTCAGTAGAACAACAGCAGCCCAGCTACTAAGAGAAAGGATGAATAAATGGGACTTCATAAAATTAAAAAGGTTCTACACAACAAAAGAAATCATTTCTAAAGTGAAAAGACAACCCACAGAGTGCGAGAAAATTTTGCCAGCTATGCATCAGACAAGGGACTGATAACCAGAATATACAACAGAATTTAAGAAACTAACTCTCCTAAAATCAATGAACCAATTAAAAAATGTGCAACTCAGATTGATAGAAGCTTCTCAAAAGAAGAATTTCAAATGGCCTAAAAGCACATAAAAAATGCTCACCATCTCTGGCCATATAGGAAATGCAAATCAAAACCACACTAAGATTTCACCTCATCCTCGTTAGAATAGCCATCATCCAAAACACCACCAACAACAAATGCTGGTGAGGATGTGGGAAAAAAGGAACCGTAATCTACTGCTGGTAGGAATGAAAGCTGGTGCAACCAATCTGGAAAAGAATTTGGAGACTTCTTAAAAATCTAAACATTAACCTTCCATATGATCCAGCAATCCCACTCCTGGGTGTATACCCAAAGGAATGCAACACAGCTTACTCCAGAGGCACCTGCACACCCATGTTTATTGCAGCACTATTCACAATAGCCAAGTTATGGAAATAACCAAGATGCCCCACTACTGATGAATGGATCAAGAAAATGTGGTACTTGCACACAATGGAATTTTACTCAGCCATGAAGAAAAAGAAATCTTATCATTTGCAGGTAAATGGATGGAACTGGAGAACATCATTCTAAGCGAGGTCAGCCAGGCTCAGAATACAAAAAATCATATGTTCTCCCTAATATGGGGACTTTAGATCCAGGGTAAATGCACCAATGTTGTTGGACTTGGATGACAAGAAAAGGGGAGAACACATACAGGAGATATAGGAATAGGTAGATAACCCAAAACATGAAAGTTTTTGATGTCCCCACTCCAGAGGAACTAATACAGAAACCTTAAAACAACAGAGTATCACTAGCAGGGGATCAGGAACCAATATGAAGATCAGTTAGAGTTGAATCAACATGGGTCATAACACATGGGTACATGACAGCAATAGTAGGAATCTTTCTGTATCGCTATCCTTAACTCAACTAGCAAAAGCGCTTTGTCTTTCTCATGCTTATGTCTTTTCTTCAACAAAATCCGTCACAAGGGCAGAATGGAACCTGTCTGAAACTGAGAAGAGGAGGGGAGGAAGGGTGGGGAAGGGGGGCAGGGTGGAGAAATGACCCAAACAATGTATGCACATGTGAATAAATGAACAAAAAAAATAAAAATAATAAATGTAAAAAACAAAAACCCCAAACAAACTACAAATGTAGATTGGAACCAGCAATATACCAGAAGCAGTGCTTTGTGCTGGGAATTAGTGATATATGACAGCTATAAATAGTTTATCCTTGTATTTATTGCAATTTTTTACTTGAATACAGTGAGAGACATTCTAAGCTTTCTTAGAAAGTGGAAAAAAATAAATGAATTGTTAATATTTTTGCTTAGTTTGTGAATATCATAACACATTTTACTATTTATTAATTACTGCATTATTATCAAATGTTAGCAGTTCAAATATGGTTGTAGAAACAAAATTCCTTCTGTAATAGAGTGACTGTTTTCTCCCCCCCAAAAAAGAAGCAGCTTCTTTATGATCATATAGATGTATAATTTCATTTATTTTAAAATTTAAAAGGAATAAGGATGAATGTAGTACTCTCTCCAGAGTCTTTTCATTTCAGCATTGTTATGCAAATCAGAAAAATACTAAATAAAATAAGCTCCCCTATAATACTTTTATTCAAGGATACCATAACAGGGTGGATTCCACAAGACAATTACATTCAAGATGCACATGTTAAAAAGAAAAAGGACAGATGAGAAAACTCTTTAACACCAATTTGGAATGCTCATTTTTCTTATTGGATTTTACTCCACCATCCGTAATTTATACATCATATATTTATTTTACATACTACATAAATATTTGTTAAATATTTTGATTGACAGATAATAATTTTGTTCATTTGTGATGTACTCTCTGATGTTCAAATTCATGTATACATTATATACTGACAGAATCATGATAATCAACATATTTGTCATCTTGTGCTTTTATCATTATTTTAAGATAAATATATACAAAAATTCTCTATTTTATAATTTTGAGATACACAATGCATTATTTTGACTATATTTCCCATAATGTGCCATAGTACAACTGATAATACTCCTCTTGTCCAACTATAACATTGTACCACTTACAAAACCTCCCTAACCCACATCATCATACTTTCACCAGACTCTGGTTACCACTATACTTCTCTGAACTTATATGAGTTCAACTTTTTTAGATTTCACCATACCTTTGAGTCCATGCAGTTTTAGTCTATGTCTATGTGAATTAATTTACCATAATGCCCTCCAAGTCCACACATGATGTCACAAATCCCAGAATCTCACTTTGTCTAAGGCATGAAGAACATATGGTTGCCTACATGAAGCAGTTTCTTTATGCATTTTCTGTGGATGTACATTTAGGTTGACTACATATTCTAGCTAGTATGAATACTGAAGCAATCACCAAAGCAGTGCAGGTGTCATTTCAAACTCTAACTTAATTATATTCAGGTATATATCAGTAGAGGGATTGTCAAAATTCCACAGTATGCCCATTTAAAGTTTTTGAGGAATCATAGTGTTTTCTTTAAAGAATGCATTAATCTCTAATTCTTCAATAGTACATGAGTTCCCTGTCTTCTAATACTCATTCAGCATTTCAAAATGGTCTTTTTCATACTACCCCTTCTCAGTGATGTTTTCATGGAATACAAACACATTCTAAAATATTTCATGGTTTCTCTGACTCAGTGATTTCAAGCACAATAGACACCAAATGTTGATAGTGAACATTTAAAATGTGTACTGCCAAAGTTCATAGTGCTCTAAGTATGTAATGCATAAATGTCTAGCATTCATGTACCTTGAATAAAACAATAATATTATTAATGACACTGATGCAGTTTTTTATCAGAACACTTCCAGATTCTTTGTTTCTCATGGGAAGAATCCATCACAGGACACATGGGTGTAAATGGAGTTAATTAAAAGTTAGAAAAACGAAAATAGAAAGGGGAGTGTAGTATGGCCAATGTGGAATCTGATGCCAAGAGATAATGCTTCAGCTCTTCAGATGCATTTATAACCTATCATAACATATGGGAAGGGGAGAACAAAGTGATTGCCATCCATTAATCAATGAGTGGTGCGAGAGTGGCAGTTATAGGCCAGGTGTGGGAGGTTCCTGAGCCAAAGTCTGATTAATCTAAGATGTAATGTTTTTCTATGAGATTTGAAATTTCCATAAATTTAGCCTACCTCAATATGATAATAAAAATAAAATAAGACATATAAAGAAAACAAAGCACATGATAACACTAACAATTTCATGTTGATTATAGAAAAATAAGTAAATGTAGAAAACATAAGATCAAATGAACTGTCATATGTGGATGTACACACACAGAGCAGTATATGGTATTATAAAACTAGGAAATTGATTGTTTTAATGATTTGTCATGCTTTGAAGTAAGTAAATATATCAATAATTATAGTGGTATTTAGTAATTCATGTATTAAAATATACTTTTAAATATTTCACTATGAAATTTTAAGTTACAAATATGGCTTGAGTGTATTTCCATTGACCACAACATTTGGTGTTATTCTAGTCAGCATGGAGGGGCAGGAAAGAATGATGATTAGAGTAAAATGGTTATTTTTTTCACAAAGGAAAATATCCCAAGCACTCTTTTCATAGCTCCCAGGACTTCCTTATTCCTCAGACTATATAATGGGATTGAGCATGGGGGTAAGGATGGTGTAGAAAACAGCCAGAATCTTATCTTCTGCAGGTGAGTGAAGACTCCTGGGTCAAAGATAAGTGTAGACAAAAGGTGCATAATAAAGTGTCACCACAGTTAAATGTGTTGAGCATGTAGTGGAGGCCTTTTTCCTTCCCTCTTTTGAGTGCATATTGAAGACAGCTAAAAGTACTAGTCCATAAGAAGCAGAGGCACCAAGGAAAGGAAGGAGAAGAAACATGCTAGTGCTCACAAACACCATATACTCATAGACCAAAGTGTCCATATAAGCTAGAGGCAACATGGCTGGGACATCACAGAAGAAATGATTTATAGCCCTAGACCTGCAGTAAGGGATGTGTAGGGCATAGACTCTGTACGCCAAAGAGTTGATGGATCCCAATGTCCAAGACACTATGATCAATTTCAGACAAACCCTTTTACTCATGCAGATGGGATAATGGAAAGGATGGCAGATGGCCAAAAAATGGTCATAGGCCATTGAGGCTAGCAGTAAACCTTCAGAACATGCCATTGTCAGGAAGAAGAAGCTTTGGATTCCACAACCCAGGAAGGAGATACTTTTTTGTCCAGAAAGGAAATTGAATGCCATCTTGGGAACAGTGGTGGAGATGTACCTCAGGTCCATGAGGGAAAGCTGGCTGAGGAGAAAGTACATAGGGGTGTGGAACTGGTAATCCACACATATGAGGTGGATCATTGTTGAATTACCAAACAAGGCAAGACATAAGATGAAGATGAAAAGTAGTAAGAGGAGTACACCAGTTTGATTTGGAGGCAATAACCCCAACAGAATGAAATCACTTGATGTTTGATTCCATTTGTCCATGAAATGTATGCTGTTAGCTTCCTTGAAAGAAATACAAAAGAAAAAGCAAATTGAAAACATGAATGAAGCAGAGCAAGAGAACAAAAATGAACTGAATTCATTAATACTTGATTAGAATGAAATTTTACTTGGGCACTGTGGCTTTTGTTGAATTGATTTGAATATCATTGTTACAATCTGGCCAAGGGGAATGTGTTTATGGCCTCTATGTATAACATCATGGGGCACAAATGGGCTGAAGCATTCTATCCTAGATAAATTCTGTCCCAGCCTTTGTCCAAACTTATTGTTAAGTCTTATAAATGGAAGAGAGATGGTTTTTCTGTATTCACAAATGTCTCCATTTAATAAAATAAACTTTCAAGAGGAACTGAGAAGTGTTTATAAGTTAAATGTTACCTTGCCCTCTACCCATATCATTTTTCTTGGTGTTGCCCCCTCCCCCAAATGGTACTGGTACAGACATACGAACTGGATTCTCACTTTGATGCTCTACTTCTAAGTAGTTTTGAAGTCATTTGAATCACTGCTGAAGCTGTGTCCACCATCCAAAGTCACTACACTTGAATGGATAAGTATTGTGTTTTCTGTAAGAAGCTCCCTATATCAATATATTATTTGAATATTCTCTTCCAACTGGTATTTACATTTTCTCACACTGTATTTAACTGAAATCAAATGTATAGATGATCATACACATTTTCATTTTCTTAATGAAAGTAAATTACCCATGTTAAAGTTCACAGAATCATAACATGAAAATATAATAAGAGGGAATTTTACACATCTATAAACTACAACTCTTATGATAATTAGTATTCAACATGGGTATTGTAATTAGAAAACAAATACAAATATATACACATATATTCTTTCAATAAGCAGGAATTTTTGAGGAGTTAGGACTTCTGTCAACACTTCTTCACATCATTTATTATAATCTAGCAACAGAAGATAATAATATGTATTTGGGTATTAATATCTTCATTTGCAAAATAATAGAAGTAATGTTCATTGATGTGAAGACATGACTTTTTCCTATCTGCAACTCTGTCACATCTCTTTCACATTGGCACCAGCTTCAAACTAGTTTTATATGTACCTGTAGGGATCTCACCTATATCTTGCATCTGGGAAGTCACCCATCTGAGTATCTACACCAAGCTACCAGTCTCCATTCAATCTTCAGTATTATCTCAGTTTTATGTCCTCTCACTATGGTTATGGAAACACCTGTGGAGATATCTACTGAGAGACACATGTATATCAGAATCAATGACACATGCTTAATTGCTCCATTTCCCTGTGGATCCTGGGGTTTGTCCAGTCTTCATTCTTCCCCCTCTTGCTGTAGTCACAATGTATGCTACCTCTGTAGTTCTGTTGAAAGAGACACACTTTATCAACAAACAGATGTACTAACAAACTCCATCCCACAAAGAATGTTGGGAGGAAAAATATCTCAACTCTCACATCTTCAGAAAATTGCCCTACCTGTGCAAGGAAGTGCTAAAAGATGTATGCCTGTCTGAGCCAATGTGACAAGCTCAACTGGCTCTGCACCACAGTAAAATCTGAGGAGCCCAACCTAATATCTGGGAGCTTCCCACTCTAGGTGGAAAATGATCCTGCACATATAGGGAACTTCTGAGTTCTGTCAATCATCAGAACAGGAATTAAGGCTTGAGTCTTTGGTCAAGTTTTCTAAACAGCCTGCATAGCTTCCTTGGATTTCTTCATGATTTTTTCTTGGGTTTTTTGCCAAAATAAGAAGCACTGTAAGACTAACAGCAGTCCTGGTCTTAGCATCTAGTGCCAAAATGACTGCATTAGTCAGAGCTTATGTAATAAGTAAACAGAAAATTTAGAATCACTGAAAGTCCTGTTGAAGAAAAATAAGCACAAAGACAGTACACATTGTAACAAATACTTTTTACTTCAATAACACATATCTGTTAGAGAGATGTGCGATCTTTGAAATAAATAATTAAAGTAGTTGTTTTAAGGGAGTCCAATAAATTTCAGGAAATCATGCTTTATTTATTTAAATAACTGTCAGAGAATTTATAGTTAAATTTGAGAAAAAGCAAAAGGCACCCAAAGTGTTGATTTTTCTTTTTGCAGATTAGAAATAAATGTATCCATAACAAAGTCATTAGCTTATTTACATATGTATATCACTTTATAACTTTCTGGAAAGAGAAAAGTTAGTAACATGGAATCAAGGCAAGCTTTCAACTGCAATGCATCAATTGTAGTTCTGTTTCTCTTACATAATGAGGCCATGTCATGGCAACTTTCATGTCACTGTCCTGGTCCAAAAATGTGTAATTTCCTGTTCAACAAATAATAGTTGACTTTATAGAATAACCATAACTCTTCATGCAATTGTTTCCTAGGAGCCTAGAATTTAAAGACGGCTGAGTACTGATGGCTCACACCTGTAATTCTAGCTATTCTGGAAGTCTATCTAAAAGACAGAGTTTAACTCTGAAATTTAAAATATGCATAATTAAGCCATTACTAAATGATGAATTTTAAAAGGATTGATAGAGCAAGGCAATATAACAAGTAGAACTATATATGCACTTAGCTCTTGAACACCAACTGTATGAAGGAAATACTTATTGACCTAAATGTTAGGCAGCCTACAATACAATAACACTAAGGGACTTCAAAACACACTTCCAAAAATGGTCTTATCATACAGACAAAAACAATCAACAAAGGAATATTCAGTTAATTTGCACCATAGATCAATTGGAACTAACAGATATTTACAGATCATTTTGCTCAAGAGAGTAAGAATGCACATTCTTCTTAATAGTACATAGAACTTCCTCTGAAATAGAGAATGTTATGAAATAGAGCAAGCCTCAATAATTTTTAAATCAAAATCATATAAACGATTGTTTTTCTGATCACAGTGAAAGTAAACTAAGAATCTATATGGGAAGAACTTTGGAAACTGTATAAATGCATTGAAATAAGTACTATGCTCTTGAAAAAAACCAATGAGTCTAAAAGAATGTGCAATATTATTCACCATTGAATAAATATCTAAGAAAATAGGAATGCACTCAGAGAAATAATACTATAGATGACTATGATGAAATTAAGCACGGAAACAAAAAATAAAATTTCAAAATGGTGTTTGAAATGACATATATTTATTTATCTTTTCACTTGCTTGAGGCAATTTCAACTTCAAAATTGGCCTACAAAATCTTTCAAATGTATTAGTGTTTTGGGTAGCATTTTAATTTCTGAAATATTGCAGAAAGAATCTGGTAGAGACATAATACACATGTCAATTTGCATTTGTTTCACAGTCACAGTGTGGCCATATCATTACCTTGTGCCATTGTTCCACACTCCAGTCCAGTGTAACACAGGAAGAAGGTGAGCCAAAGTGCCTGTTTAGAATTTCTCCTTCCAAAATACTTTCCTCAAAACTACAAACCCTATACACTAGAACCACCTAATTGTACTTCACTTGGAACTTGGTGAAATATGTTTCTCCAGTCTACATTGCAGGGTAGAAAATGTATCTGTGCCTAATCCAAACCCTATCCATACTGTTAAATCAAGAGTAACTATAAATCACTTTCATCAAAATTGCACTTGCTAACATCTGTGATTGACTGCATACCATTAAGTAAATGATCATTTCTCATTCTTTGCCTTCCATTCCTCTGACTGAGATTTTACACATTGACCCCACACTTCTTCCATCAATAC